CAGAAAAGCCACTCATTGATAATTTGGAATTAAGAATCAGTTACTTTTCTGTAGAGCAGCCGTGCTGCCAGCAGGCTTCTATGCAGGATTTCAGCTTTTTCATGGATGTTGCTATAGAAGACCATGAAGCTGTCGGGTGTGAAGGGTGTAGAAATAGATGTTGTGTATGAAATGGTCTGCCTCCAAATTCTTCGCAGAAATTGTGGATCAAGCACAGGATAATCTTGACTTGCTGAGACAACGGCCTTCATGTTGTATAGCTACATCTACACACACATTGATCTGCTTGAAGCCTCAACCAGCAACTTCCTACTGTTACCAGAGGGGCCACATTACACTTGATCCATTTGCCTTAGTCGGCCCAGCAAATCTGTTATTTAATTAAATGTTATTTCTAAAAAAGAGCCCAAAACCTAGAGATTCTAGTTTATATTTACAGATAAACACAGAAAAAAAAATTCACATTGACCTTTCTGGGTAATTTTACTGTAAATGTTATGTTTTTTGGTATTTCTCTAAATCTGTTCCTGTTACCTCTGTGCTGCTGTATTTGAAACCCATACCCATCCCATCTCTATGAAAACACCGTGCTTTATTTTTACTATACTAGAACTATAGAAAAAAAAATAGGAGTTTGTTTTGTTTTGTTTTATCTTAAAAGTTTTTAGTGTGTAAGTGTGCTGGGAGAACGTCTTCCAGAACTGATAAAGTGCAAATAAGAAATTCAAATAATGTACCTGGTTGTGGCCATATTAACGTGTGCTTTTGTGCTGTAGTTCTTCCTGCAGCTGCAGCAGGCGGAGCTGGAGGCTCGTGCAGACAGCAGCGCTGTGAGCAAAGTGGAGCTGGGGCAGCTGGCGTCCATGGAGAGCTCCGTGTTCGACGAGATGATCACCCTCCTGGAGCGCCTCAAGCACGACATGTTGGCTCGCCAGGTCGAGCACGTCTTCAGGGAGGTCAAAGATGCTGCAAAGCTCTACAAGAGAGAGAGGTGATTCTTTCTCCTTGCCCTCCTCTGTTACAGCATTATTTTCTGTTAAAAACACCATACAAATGAGGAAAAAACACATAAAAATAGGAAATACCATACAAATAGGAAAAATTTGTTTCCTGAGTTGGAGGGCTTAATGGTAGTAAACTTTGGAAGATTATTGTTTCCTTGAAAACGTTCTTAATTTCGATTTACGTTTCTAAACTAGTCCTGCAATACACAGGCACTTAATCCTTTTTGTAAAAGAATCCTGCCTTACTTTGGTTGGAGAAGAATTATATTCTTGGAGGTAGCATGAAAGAGTAAATATGAAGGGGCCTGTGATGGTTGCTTCTATCTTCATGGACATACTAAGCTTCTGGAGTGTTTGCTCCTTGGTAGCATTTGTAAATTTGTCATAAAATGAAGACAGTGATTCTATAGATCAGCTGGGTTTCTTGGTTTTGGATGGCATATGCAGACAGTCTTAACAAAATGGTGAGCTTAACACTTTAAATAGGACTTTAGACTGTGATTATTTTTAGGCATTTGAAATGTGATTACTCTCTCCAATAAAGTATTTTTTTGATAACATTTTAATTGCAGTCGTTTCCATATCGTATTCCTTCCTTCTCACGGCCTCGCCGTGTCCCCTCGCAGGTGGCTGTCGCTGCCGTCGCAGGCAGAGCAGGCCGTGATGTCCCTGTCGAGCTCGGCCTGCCCGCTGCTGCTCACCCTGCGCGACCGCCTGCTGCAGCTCGAGCAGCAGCTCTGCCACGCGCTCTTCAAAGCCGCCTGGCAAATGCTTGCAGAGAAGGTGGATTTATTCATCTACCAGGAGGTAGGTGTCTGCAAATGGCACATCTGCAGGGTAGGGGTTAGTGCCTGAACTCAAGGTGTACCTCTCTGTGCCCAGATAATTCTGGCAAATCATTTCAATGAAGGAGGAGCAGCACAACTCCAGTTTGACATGAATAGGAATCTGTTCCCGTTGTTTTCTCACTACTGCAAGAGGCCAGAAAACTATTTCAAACAGTAAGTAGACAAACTTCTGACATGTTAATATTTCAAAAGAGAACGTGTAGTGGATAGCAGCCTAATTGTTTTCACTGAGGAGAAAAGAAACTCCTGTTTTTGTGGTCAGTCTTTCCAAATAGCCCAGAATCCTTCAGAGAGTCCAGTGCTGACTCCTAGGGCTGATTGGGGTGAGATTCCTGCCTCAATGTGCTTCCAGTTTTGAAAACCTGAAGACACAGGTGATAGACACTGGTGAATATATTGGCATTTTTAATTGGAATATTTTCATAGCATCTTCTGGTGTAAGATTATTTGAGCATTTCCATTAACGGCAGAAAGAAACAGTAAGAAATAATATTTAACTGGGTATGTGACTGTCATTTAGAGACTAGAAACAATGTGACAAAGGCAGAGTACCAGTCTCTTTGCTCCTTAATGAGAATAAGGGGATATATTCAGGCTTCAGCAATTGTCTGTTCAAATGTACTCTTACAATACATCGAATAAGGAGCAATTTCTATTAAACTTACAGAAAATTGTAGCTAGGGAGGGCTGGCTGGATTATTAAGTGGTAAATTCTGTTCTATATTTTTAGTATTGGTGGAAAAAAAAGAAGAAGCAAAAGCCCTGCCAAGTATAAGGAGGCAAAATACTGATGCTTTTGAAATACGTATTTATAACAGAAAACTCTTAACGAGTAAGAATGACTGTAGTATTTATCTTCATCCGACCAGTACTCACAAATTTGTTAAATGTGGCTCATGGGGATGAGATTGGGTCTCTGATTAGTCCTTTTCTTTTCCCCCCTGCAGCATAAAAGAAGCCTGCATTATCCTGAACTTAAATATAGGCTCTGCCCTGCTTCTGAAGGACGTGCTACAGACAGCCTCAGAAAATGAAGAAACGTTAGAGCCAAACCAGCCATCGGCAACAGCAGCATTAAATGAACTTGGGGTTTACAAATTAGCTCAAAAAGATGTTGAGATTCTGCTGAATTTGAGAGCTAATTGGCCAAATACAGGAAAATAATTTTTTTTTTGTGGGAAAAAAATGGTTCATAACTTGGTCTAGATCACTTAACTTCAAATAAAAGCCAAGCAAATAGACTATATTAATAGACTTCCTGATTTTTTTCACTGCTATATGCCTAGAGCTTGATTTTATTTAATTTAGTCTTGTGCCTTCCTGTATACACAGTTACATGTTTTCATGTTTCAGAGTGCTACTGCCTTGCCTTCTAACCCCACAGAAGTGGGGTATTTTCTACAGTCTTGTAATTAAGGCCAGAACTTAAGCTCCTAATTACTAGAAAGCTGCGAGCATTGGCCAGAGCAGAACCCTGAGCTCTGCTGAGCCCCGTGCGAGTTGCAGAGAGCAGGGGGTGTCTGTGAACGCGGCCGCGCGCAGCAGGGGCAACTCTCATAGGAACTGGTACATTTTCAATTAAAAATACATGGGTTTACATCCATAAATCCCAGTTAATAGAGATTTCGTATTAACATACGGAACGAGATGAGGATATATATCATTTTATCCATCCTACTTTAGTTTTTTTTCTTTTGCTATCCAAGAGTCTGTATTTAAGTAGGACTCACTGATTTACTATACCTATTATTTTATTGAGTCTATTGAAAAATTGCATAAATACTACATTATAAATGTGTTGCTTGTCTTTGAACAAAAGAAAAGCTTAAAAAACAACTTGTCTGATAAATATAACTTTATTCAGTGGTTTTATTGATGGATGAACCAACAAATAACAGAGAAGAGCTGCAGACCATGCTCTGAATCCACCCCTCCTGTTGCAGAAGCTCCAAAATGCTGCTTTTGCTGGTAAAACTGATCATTTCTAATCATGTAGCAGAGAAGTGGCAGTTCTGACCAGATCCCCTGCTAAGGGCTTGTGGGGGTGGATGATTCTTTGTTATTTCTTCTTTATAGCTGTTTGCTAAATTTGGAGAAATTAGAGAAAAGAAGAGAGCGTTGCTTGAAAATAGGAGAGCAGAGCAGCTGGCCAGAGATGAAACCAACCAAGCAAAAACAGGAACAAAAAAAAAAAAAAAAGGAAAATGCCTCTCTTCCTCTTTTGCATGTGTGTGTAAATATATAGGTGTGGATAGATATGTATATATTTATGCATATGTCCACGAAACTAATATACAGCCCACATCTCCTGCATCTTTTTATTCCTAGGACAGAAACAAAAAGAAGTCTGGTTAATACTGGTTGGAATAACTGGGTCCAGCTTTCTCTCAGTGACTCCTTTTTACTAAAATTAAGATGTCCACAACTTGCCCCTTGAAACATACCCGCACTATGAGACACTATGAACCCCCTGGGCCTGTTTCATCTGAAAGACGCGCTGTTCCTCAAGGCCGAGCGCTGAACGTAACGTAAACGTTTCCTATTCCCCAGTGTGTGCTCTGAGCACTGGGGCTGGCTGTAGCCCCGGGGTGGGGAAATTGCACAGATAGGGGATCACGAAAGGGAGATGGGAGAGGAAAATGTGGAGTTGGAGAGTCTGGGAATATGTTCAGCTTCCTGCATATCAATCAAGTTAGAGCGATAACTGAGCATTTGGGGTCGTGCAATACACTCTAAGGCGGCTAAGCTAAAACTAGCCAGTCCTTTTATTATATGCTTCTGTAAATTAAAAAAAAATAGCAGCTAACAACAAAATCCTTTCAGTTGAACTTACACTTCTTGCTTGAATGTGTCCAGCGTGATAATCGCATCCTCAGAGGGCAGCCCTTCTGTGCTCAGTCCCAGGGTTTTAAGAGCTAAAGTTCAAAGTTAAAACAATTCGCTAGATCTTCCAACAGCAGCAGTAAGCAGATGTCATTTCTTTAATTTTTAAACTTGCAAAAGATGTAATCAAACATACTGATTTTTTTTAAAGCAAACGTGCATCACTCTAAAACTGCTCTGTGCGATCCCCGAGCACGACTGACCTTCTCGATACTGCACGGCCGTGATGTAGCCATGGCCCGGGACGTCCAGCATCTGGAACATGGCCGTGAGGTTGGAGTCATCCAGGAGGCAGGGGTACTGGCCCTCCCCGCGCTTCCCAGCCGCCACCTTCTCCAGTGCCTCGATCAGGAAGTCGCGCGGTCGCTCTGCAACAGAGGGAACATGAACGTGCTGCCACCAGGCTCCAGGCTCCGGCGGAGCAGTTAAACCGGCTTCGCGGGCCCCGGGAGTGCTGCCATGAACTGGCCTGACAAGAAAATAATAATAATAATAGTAACAATAAAAACAAAAATCTGCTGCCTCAGGAGAAGGCTGAGAGGCCTCAGGGACACAGCTCCTGCCAACAGCTTTTCTAAGCGTGCGGCCTCGCAGGCTAGAGAAAAGCCCTCCCTTCCCTGTCACTGCTGCGGTGCTGGGCCGTGGTACCGGGGCGGTGGTAGAGCAGCAGCGCGCTGAGGTGCTCGAGCAACTCGGGGAGCCGGTGCCGCTCGAGGTAATCGCGGCCCTGCTGCTCGGCCGAGCGCAAGCGCGGCGCCGCCATCGCGCGTTGCCGGGAGACGGACGTGCGGGGAGGCGAGGCCGGAG